AGGCAGTGATGTGGGCAGGGGGGGAAAAGGGGAGTGGGAGGAGTCACCAGTTTTTGAGGGGGGCAGGGTGTACAGAGGTAAGTGGGAGGAATGACAAAAGGAGAGAAGGGGGATGAGTCTATTGGGAGGTGTCACCCATGGTGTGGAGGTGGGCAGGGTCACCAAGAGTGGTGGTGGGAGGAGTCATGAGAAAAAGTAGGCAGGATGGGATAAGTCTAGTGGGAGGAGTCACTAGGTGGTGGAAAGGTGGGCAGTGAGGATGAGTTTAGTGGGAGGTGGTGGAGGAAGAGGGAAATTAGCTTAGTGGGAGGAGTCACAAGATGGTGGACGAGGGGGTGAGCTTAGTGGGAGGAGTCACTAGATGTGGACGGGGGAGCTTAGTGGGAGGAGTCACCAGAAGATGGTGTGGGGGGGATCGGTATAGGGGGTTGTGCTTAATGGGAGGAGTCACTAGATGGTCGATGGGGAATGAGCTCAGTGGGAGGAGACACCAGCAGATGGTGTGGGGTGAACTTAGTGGGAGGAGTCACCAGGAAGGAAATGGAGACAGAAAGCAAGCGGGGTCACAGGTGTACAAAGAGTTTTTAAAAAGTCATAAGGTGGGCGGGGCGATAAGGTGATCGGCGAGGTAAAGGCAGTGGGAGGAGTCCCCCGGTGGGCGGAGTCACCTGTGCGGGAAAAACAAAAGCCCCTCAGGAACTTCAGGCTCTCCTCCAGCCCGCAGTAGATGGTGAATCCCCCCTGGAATGGCGGCTCCCGGAAGAAGAGCTCGAACTCCGCAGCCTCCTGGTGCCGCCCGCTTCTCCAGTAGCCGTAAGCCATGGTGAACTGATACAAGTCAGTCAGCAGCGGCAGCTCCATGCTTAGAGTGGAGCACGTGACCTAGATGTCAATGAAGACTCCACTTCCGACGGAAACTCAGCGCGGGAGCTGCTGGGAAATGGAGTCCGTGGCGAGAAAGAGTGACGTCGTCACGCGGTACACTGCGGCTGGTGCACAGTTGATAGAACGTGAAACCAAGCTCCGCCCACTTTACCTCACGATGAAGATTCGACTATTATCACCATCAGCGAATCTCTTGACCAGAGAGAGCTGACAATCTATATGTGCTATCACCCCGATACCTCAGTGTAGGGCCCCCAAAACTGTACCTCAAAAACCTTGTCCTGCTGTCTCCAAACCTGTTCAATAACTTTCTACATAAGGTGACAGAGACGAGGCAGTTTGGGGGCAAGGGAAGCAAAAGTTGAGGTAAAAGTGTGTGTTTGTACAATGCTACAGAATATGCCGGTGTTATTTAACCCTTCTGTTCCCCTGCCGTGGAACCAGGTTGCTCTCTTGCGCTGCCCGCGCTGGTGACGGGATAGCCCCCCATGTGATAGCATATTGGTGGTGACAGCTACTCTTTAAGGTTATACTGGGGGGTCCAAAAGACTCCTAATTAGTGATGAGCCGAACACCCCCGTGTTCGGTTCTAACTCGAACTTTCGAACATGGAAAAAGTTCTAACTCGAACTTAGAACTCAATGCAAGTCTATGGGGGTAGAACTCAGAAAATTAAAGGTCCCCATTTTGTAGCCTTATATGCAATTTATTGGCCATAAAAAGTGTATGGGGATCCGGGTAGTGCCCTGAATGACAGGAATCAATGAAATTTAAAACAAAAAAAAATATTTTTCCGCTGCATGGGAGCGTCTGCCTGTCCTGTTTGGTCTTTGTGACATAGTGCAATAGACTGCTATAATAGATCAGTATGAGAGACTGCTATAGCACAGAACTATCACAGAATATAAAATTATATATTCACAAAAATATCACAGAAGTCTGATATATATACAGAAGCAGAAGTCTGATATATACACAGAAGTCTGATATATACACAGAAGTCTGATATATATACAGAAGTCTGATATATATACAGAAGTCTGATATAACTCTCTATCAATCTCAATAAATCTGCTGTCACTAACTAGAACTCTTCTATAACTCTCTATCAATCTCAATAAATCTGCAATTACTAACTAGAACTATCTCTCTCTCTTTATATATATATCTCTATATATATCTCTATATCTCTCTTTATATCTCTCTTTATATCAATCTCCTTCAACACACTACACAGGGCCGCGGTGTCAGCAGCCTTATATAGTGTGCTGCAGGGATTTAGCTGTGAGACATGATTGGGCAGAGTCATCATGACTTTGCCCAATCATGGCTCTATATTTTTACTGAGCCCTGATTGGCACAGTCTTGCACCTGACCTGCGGTCAGGTGCAGGACTGTAGCCAATTGCCGTTTCGGACGGCGCAGTGCATTGTGGGATGTGCCGCGGTCGAACAGACCACGGACATCCCATAATGTTCGCTGAACGCTAGAACATGCAATGTTCGAGTCGAACGTTCAGCCCATTCTTACTCCTAATGTCACCTTGACACTCTAAGGGCCCGTTCACACCAGATGCAGTCCGTTCCGGCACGATTCTAACCATAACGCACTGCCTCGCATTGCGGCCGGCTCACTTTTTTTGGCACCGTAGCCACGCCCTCCGGCCGCAATGCGTTTGGCCGCACAGGATCGCAAGGCACATTATGCCTGCGGTCCGGTGCAATCAAAATAGCGCTTGCAGCATTTTGAGCGCACTGCAGGCATTATGTGTCTTGCGATCCCGTGCGGCTGATCGCATTGCAGCCGGAGGGCGTGGCAACGGTGCCATTCACTTCAATGGCCCGCCCTGCCCCCCACAAAAAAGTGAGGCAGTGCGCTCTGGCCAGAATCGGGCCGGAACGCACTGCATCTGGTGTGAACGAGGCCTTAATAAGCTATTGAAGTGCAGATTGCAGGCTTTCTGGAGCCGAGCACTGACAGCTATGAGACCGGAAGTGATGCAATACGCGTCGCTCCTGGTCCCATAGTACAGGGAGGAGCTCAGTAAACGGAAGTTCGCCACTCTCCTCCCCAGCTTCCTGTCGACACCCGAGATGCTGGTACCTTTCGGATCCATAATTCATAACGGGAAACGGTTATGAGGGTCCAAAGATGGTCAGTAGAAAAATGATCCCTGAGACCCAGGTGATAATATGCAGCCTCGAGTCCCTTCCATCTGGTTGGTTGGCTGATCTTAGTGGGTGGCAACTTGTTTCGATCTCCACAGCAGGCCAAAACGGGAACATTGCCCGGTGGACCAAGCCGAGTCGAACCGGGCCTGGATAAAATCAGCCAGATTGTGTTCTGGCCCAGCCCGGCCGCCTGAGAGCCCCAGACGGGGGCGGCCGTTGTTGGAGCCGATAAAATTAATATCTATGGAAAAGCCTTGATGCAAAGGTGTTCCTTGATATCCTGAACTGAATCAGCATATGGCTGTGTGATACGCAAATGAGGACCATCAAAGGCTTCTTGGGGCAGGACGCTGATGAATGAAGATCTATCGGACTGTCATCTCCTGGAACGAGCCCGACCCCCTGCTGGTAATTACTGCCCACACCTGTGTCAGCAATGCAGCATGCATGATGTGATGGGGGCAGGGGCATATGATGGAACCTTCTTCCTGTGTGATCATCTGCACAAACCTAGCTCACAAGCAGGAACAATGGTAACCTTGGTGACCTCTTGGACAAGACAAGTCTTTCTGGACTCTACAATCAAGAATGTGATTCGCTGAGACCTGCTGGAGAGGCGTGTTCTGAGCACAGAGAAAAACCCATGGCATGTGTGAATGAGAGGGAGAATGTTGTTGTTAGCTGAACGATCCTAACCTCAATTCCCATCCCTACTGACCCCCTCCAAATCCCCTCTCCATTTCCCTTCATTGTAATTAGAATGTGTGTATATACCAATGTACAAATAAACCCAGCGCTTATTTAAGATTCAGTCGCTCATCAGTAATTTAAAGGAGAACTATGGGGTTTAGTCTTTTCCCCATAGTTCTCCTTAGGGTAACGGGAGGACACAAACTAGCGTCCTCCCGTCACCCTAGGCTCAGTATATAGGGAGCTGTAGCTGGCGGTATACTGAGACGCCGCAGCGGATCCCGACCTGGACGTCGGGATCCGCCCAGCTGCGTGAGTGACAGCTGGCTCCGCCTATGTAGAGGAAGAGCCAGCTGTACCCTCCCCCGTCCGTTCCGCCAGTCAGCGCTGGAGGATCAGAGCGGGGAGGGGGAATCCAGCCCCTCCCCTGTCACGGCAGAGAGCCGTGACAGGATCGAGAGGTGAGCGAACGCCGGTATATGTTCGCTCACCTCCCGGTCTACTGAGCCGACCTGTGACAGTCTCATTGTCACAGGTCGGCTAGAACTATGAGGT